TAATTATTACTTTGTAGTAGTTTTTTCGTTTTAAGTTCAAAATATTCCAGTAGCCCTTATTTGGGTATTCTAAGTAAACATGTAAGAAATGTAATTTTTAAATTTTTAATTCTTCTACACAATAATAATTTCAGTATTACTATATTACTATAAAAAGGCTAAATGCTCGAAATCCTTAATAGGAGTTTGGGCTTTTACAGTTAGTCCCTATATTAGCCCTCCCTAAAGGCAGAAGCAAAGATAACTAGAGCAGAATAAATCCATACCATTCATTAAATTAGAGATCGTGCTATTTGACTTATTAATGCAAAATGGCCACTAAACTTGTTTGACGAATTTATCGCGTATTCAGTTCAGTATACAAAACATTAAATGCATCCGACTATGGGTGTCTATATCTCCTCATATACTCCATTGTCTGAAGCCTATCCCCTAGTCCTTATTGGTATAAGAGAAGTCTTTTATTTTTTGGACTAGTTCGATGGTCTTGGTAAGTCTCATTGTTCATTGATCTCCCCAACGCGAGGTGGGCCTGTCGGGCATGACGTGTTTGTGCCTCTCCTCGTGAATCAATAATAGATAGCAGCTAATCTGATTGATCCGGTATTGGTGGAGGTGAGGACGAAGAAAGAATAGGCGAATTTAGAAAGAGTTTATTATATAGCACATCAAAGTCCAAGTTTCAATTAGACTGAGTATGAGGCAAAGCCTCAGAGTGGTTCATCCGAGCTGGTTGAACCAGTTTGCCCGAAAGAAGCACCAATAGCATAATTCAATCGCTATCATGGTTGGAGCATAGATAACAAAGGTATGGGTAGAGGTCAAATGCACACATATACCAAATAGGTGAAACTCTCAATCATATATGATGATCTACCTCTCTATCCACAACCGACCCATCTCCTTTTAGTCGGGTAAGCTAATCGATCGAATTCATTCATGGTTACCAGTGTCACTTCGAACATGGGCAAATGCTTCTCCCTCTAATCCATCATTCCCATTCACCAAATCATTCGTATAATTAGCATTCGATCGACTGGAAACGGACTATGCATTGGTTATTCCTTCCGCTCGCAGTTATCGGTCTTAGTTGTATGATTAGATAACCTATTTTGGCATAACTATTTCTCTCCCTTGGGATACTCGCCCGACGAACTCGACATTTCACGGTATTCAAATATAAGTAAACTACTATCCTCTCCGGATTGCCTTGAAAAACCTGTAGCAAAAGCTTTTAAAAAGCTCTAAGTCTTTCAAATTACCTTGAATGAGCAGAGCACCATAATATACATATATATTATTTATATATTTATTATTTTAATTTTTAATATTTAAAAATATTCATTTTAATTTGAACTAGACTTGAATTAAATTTTTTTTAGATCGAAGACTGAACCGAATATTATTTAATCTGACCTAGTTCAGATTGGATAATAGTTACCTCCAAAATATTATAAAGTTTTATTTAAGCAAAAAATAAAAATAAAAATATATAAATTAAATGAAATAATACAGAAAAGAATTAGATGTATGGATATTTCTTTCCTATAGAGTTTGAAAATCATAACAACTAAATATGAATGTGAGAAGAAGAGTTGAAGGCATGTTGATGATAATAACATATAGGACAGAATAATTGTTCTCCAATGATTTTTTTTTTTTTTTTTTTTTTCTTTCTTTCTTTAGGATGTTTTCAATCCTTAGTTGATTGTCACCCAAATAAATAGAAATATAATTTTATAATTTTTTTTTTTTTTTTATAAATTAATAATTAAAATAAATCTATAACTAAATTACAGTTAAAAAAGTAAATCATAATTTACGTCTTCCAAAGAGGGCATAGACGAGACTGGCAACAAGTAATACAGTTTTGAAGAAAATTGTATGTGAATATGTTGAATTAATTGTGATTTGCAAAGTATTTTTTGGCAACTAATCTCCAGAATCACATAAAATCAACTTATAACTAAAAAATTTAAAATAAAATCCTCATGCTTAATTCTTTTTAATTTTTATCTCCACGTTCATTGTAAGAAAATGTTGTATAAAACGTGTTTGATTGATTGGGGCTCACTTCAGATTTCCATCCTCACTAGCGACTATCCCCCCACCGACCTACCTTCTCTTTCTCTCTCTCTCTCTCTCCATTTCTTCTTTATTATTCCTTTGAATAACAAAATGTCAGAATTCCAGACAAGAAATGAAGGCAACGGAACATTCTCCATCACTGATGAGTCTCAGCCTTTGCAGGTCTGTACATATTTACTGCTAATTCGTCTGTTTATCCTTTTGCATGTCTCCTCTCTCTTTTCCTTTTTTTCCATCCATTTTCGATTTTCTTCCCTGTCATTAGGCTTCCATCTCTCTCTTGTTTTTGTTTTCTTTCTTTTGGGTCTGGAAAATAATGAAGCATTTATAGAATGTCGTCGATCAACAATCCACACTATTAACTGCTGCTTCTCTTTAATTTCATCCTGTCTTAACGTTAAAACAAATCTACTCCAATCTATACTTTCATATTTTAAATTAAAATGTTAATAATATGTTTACTAGGCAGCCAACCCTCATTTCATTATGTAAATAAAAGTGGTATAAAAGTAAAATTCATAATGCGATTTTGAAAATTAAGTTAAGAAACTAAAATGGATGTAACTTAACAATTTATTAAGTTTTTCATTTTCATTTTCTTATTTTAAAAGTATGTTTACAATCAAAATCTGTATTTTTTTTAATGGTTTTAAATATAAAATTCATAATTTTAAATACAAAAACTCTAACTTTGACTTTCAATAAAAATTTCAAAATTTATTTTTCACCAAATACACAATTTCTTCTGCTTTTTTAAAGAGAACAAATAAAAACTAAATAAATTTTGACGAAAACGAAAATTTTAAAAACTCAATATCACAAACACCCAAAAAGCTTATAGGTTTTTCTACAAAACAAAGTTATTTAACTTCATAATTATCATGGGCAATGATGGATGCTGTATTTTTTTATAAATTAAGTAGATCGCCAGAATCCAAGTCATAAATGCTACTCCATTGCAAATTTTTGTTGTTTACTTTGGTAAAGTCAGCTGATCCCTCACCACCTTTTGACTGTACATAAAGTTGGTTTTTTTTTTTTTTTTTTTTTTTTTTTTTATCACAACACAATCCTTTAATCCTTCTAAAACTCTACTTACCTGACATACATAAAACCGGTTATATAATATGTCTCTTTAATATTATATGGACATTTACTTACGGTATACATATATATGTATATGTACGTGGGGTTGCATTGATTTTGGTTGGCGTCACTGATGATTTCAAGAGAAGAAGAAAGAGAGACCCAGATACATGCACGAGAGATGGGTCCATTGATTGGCATGGCAATCCGGCCATAAAAAGGAGAACTGGTGGATGGAGATGTGCACTCTTGATTCTTGGTATTCACCGTCACTCATCTTCTTCCTCTGATAATTGCTATGTTTTCATTATCTCTTGTATGACAAGTAATATTACTTTTGACTTTATATATGTTATCGTATCTTATTATTATTATTATTATTGTTTGCGTTATTACGATAACTTGTTCTGTAAAGTTGAAATACCAACATATCATATTAGTTAAATTTTATCTTATTTACATTTGAAAGAATATAGGGAACCTGATTGATACCTTATTAAATTTGTAATGTTTGCATGTGTTTACATTCTCTTGATGTTGTTTAATATTATATATAACTATTTTTTCTAAAAAAAGCATGTGCATTCTGAAAAAAGAAAAAGAAGTAGCACATTTTTCTGGTATCAATACATAAGTAATTTATACGTATAAATAGTTGTCATGGTTAACTCCCTGCCTTCTCATTTGGGAGGTTCATCTCCTGCACTCTCTCCATGCAAACAAATGAGGTCCTCCTGTTGTGATAACAAGTCATCTCCTGCACTATTTATTGTGATAACAAGTCAACCACTGTCATTATAAAGGATTTGGTTTTCTGCACATGAAGATTAGATATCCCTTTGTGAGAGGAGACAAGAAAGAGGAAGAAATTATTTCCACGACACTGCAAATTAGAGGAGCAGCTAGCTGATATATTCACCAAAACTTTGCTAAAGTCTAGGTTCGAAGCTTTGAGGAAAAAGTTTGGCGTTTCCAGCAAAGATGCCAAGAAATTAGTTTTTTCTAATATTGTTTAGTTACAATGGTTAATTGCTTGTGATAATTAACGAGTCTTTTATGGTGTCTTTTATGTTTTCTTCATTTTTTTAGATCACAAGTAAAGTATCTTTGCTTTTCTAGTTTATTTTCTACTATTATGCAAAGGAATAACAAGTCTACTATATGCATTGTACGAAAGTTGATTCATAAAAAGATCAAAACAAATTTTGCACAATTTTCTCGCCTCTTTGTATAGTCCAGAACAACATTATGTAGTTCATTGGATAAGAATAACTTAGAGGGTCCTGGGGGATCTCTTATTTACTTCTTATGCGCGGCTTTAAGCACTTTCCTTCAATCTCTGCATTTAAAAACATAAAAAAAAAAAAAAGGAGTACTTACTAGGTTTTTAAAGATAAGTTTGAGTTTAGAAAAGTAAAAAAATAAGCATCACATTTTAACTTCTTACGTCATTATTATTTTTTATCTACCTATTTCCTTAACTGTGTCTCTTAATCTTCACTTACAATTAGCAATATGTACAATAATATAAATTATAAAATATTTTTAACAAATTCAATTTTAATTTTTTTTACAAAAAATAATTGCTTATATTTTGCAGCAAATACTTTATCCAGACACATAATTGTTTGCTTTTATAAATAAAAATTTGTCTATATTTAAGTTATTTAAAGTATTCAAATGCTTTAGGTACATTTTTTTCAGCAATCAAATACTTCATTAGTAATTGTTGTTGCAATATTGACGTAGATGAGTTAAAGGTTTGGTAATTTGAGGCAGTGAATCAAGGACTAGTAACTCTAGCATTTGCTGGTGTGGAGGTGAATATGGTTCTCTTCTCAAAATTAGTACTGAGGCAGACCAATGCTGAGGCTGCAAGCACTTTTGGCGCATGGATGGGAACCGTGTATCTTTTCTCTTTAGGCGGTGCTTTTCTAAGTGATTCCTACTTGGGGAGATATCTAACTTGTGTCATATTTCAGGTTGTCTACATAATTGTAAGTATAATGCTTCTCTTATTATCCTCACTTCTATCTATCTGCCTTTTTCCTTTTCTGGTATCTGAACCAACTCTACATGTATGTTCTACTTGTGGGAGGAATATCCTAAATCTGAACTAACCGTGCCAAACTTCCTTCTTTTTATTAATCACAGCCTAAAACATGAAACTTTATCAGCCAATACCTTAAAATAAAGTTTATGCAAGAGTTATTACTAATAAAATCACATCTCGAATGAGGTATTTAGCTGCATTTGGCCATTTACTTCCTACAACCTTTAACATCAAGTTAGATAGGCCTTTTGGTATTTGGAACTTTTTTTTTCTTGAAATAAAAGAAAAAATTGGTGCACTAAATGAATCATTTTTTGGAGGATGTCAGGTACCTCTCTTTCTGGAATTTTTATGCACATTCTTGGTTGTGTTTTTGCAGGGGTTGGTAACTCTATCCTTCTCAACACAGTTCCTTTTGATTAAACCGCATGGTTGTGGGATAACAGAGAAATTATGTGATCATCGTGGACAATCTGAGTTTGCAATATTTTATGTGTCTGTTTACCTGATTGCACTAGGAAATGGAGCCCCTGAACCTGCGCTGGCTACATTTGGAGCAGACCAGTTCGATGAGGAGGACGCCAAAGAAAAGCAATCAAAGAGTTCATTCTACAGCTACTTCTATGTGGCTTTGAACCTGGGTTCCTTAGTTTCAGAGACAGTGGTCGTTTACATAAATCACGTTGGGAACTGGGTATTGGGATTTTGGTTATGTGCTGGTTCAGCCGTGGTTGCATTTGTGTTGCTTTTGTGTGGGACGTTGAGGTATAGACACTTCAAGACTTCTTCTGGTAATCCCTTTTCTAGATTCTGCCAGGTGATAGTGGCTTCTTTCAGAAAAATGCATCTTGAATTACCCTCAAACACAGAAGGGCTTTATGAAGATCATGAAATAGAAGATGAAAACTGTGGCATGAGAAAAATTGTGCACACCAATGACTTCAAGTATGTTGTATTTGTTCATAGTCTGGCTAAATTCTTTGGATGAAACACGAAATCAAGATGATTTTACAACTGATTGATGAATTTTGATGCAAAAAACAGGTTTCTTGATCGAGCAGCCATTATCACCTTTGCAGAAAACAGTGAGGAAATAAAAGATAGATGGTGGCTTTGCAGCATCACACAGGTTGAAGAAGTGAAATGCATACTTCGCTTACTGCCAATATGGATGTGCACCCTCCTGACCTCTGGAATATTCATTCAGATGTTGTCCCTCTTTGTGGAGCAAGGAGCAGCCATGGACACAACAGTCTCAAGCTTTCAAGTCCCTCCAGCAAGCTTGACAGCCTTTGACATTGTTAGCACCTCAGCTTTCATTTTGTTGTATGATAAACTCATCCTTCCGTTGTATGTCAAGGTAATGAAAAGAGAGCCAAGAACTCAATCTGAGCTAGAAAGAATTGGAATAGGCCTGATCATTGCAATACTGGCCATGATTTGTGCCGGCTTTGTTGAGCAATACAGGCTAAAACATGCTGGTATTAAAGGTGAAGAGGCAAGCTCGTTAAATATATTGTGGCAGATACCTCAATACATTCTTCTGGGAGTGTCGGAAGCATTTGTTTATGTTGCACAAATGGAATTTTTTGCATCACAGTCACCAGACAGATTGAAGAGCTTGGGAATTGGTTTGTCAATGTCGTCATTTGCAATAGGCACTTACTTGTGCAGCCTGATTTTGACCATAGTAACGGCAGTCACTTCTAGGGAAGGAAAACTGGGCTGGGTTCCTCCCAATTTAAACGAAGGACATCTAGACAGATTTTTCTTTCTATCAGCAGCACTCACCATGTTTGACTTGGGTCTTTTTATTGTGTGCGCTAAACGGTACAAGAGCATATCATTCGACAATGGAAACAAGAATGACGAAGTTGAACTGAGCTGATCAAGCTTGATGGCTCTCATGACTCCTGCTTACTTTCCGTGAATTTAATAGTCAAATATGATTAGTGAAAGAGAGAACAGAATGGAAAGATAAATAATGCTTACAAAAACATGAAAGCCCTTTCGTATCAACTCATATTTTGATGCATTCATTAAATCTTTCTACGTATGTGTGACTATGTAAACTGGTATCTGCTAGTTTATGAGATAGCCGGAATCTAGTAGTTTACTGACGGATCTCTCAGTACGCGCATGGTCAGAAAGACTTAGGCAAGTCAACTATGTAGAGAAAATGAGAACATGCAGCGTGCATATATCCTGTGAGGATTTTTCTAAATCCTTTGGAATGTTAAGATTTTAAAGTGAACATATTTCTCCGATAACATATATTTATGTTTATATATTAGATATTTTAGATTATTCAGTGAACTAGTACTCATATTAAGCAAATTTATTATTTTCATTTAATTAGTTTATTTTAGTTAAGTTATTTTTCTATTTTGTTGAATTACTATATAAACATAAGAATTCTTAACTTAATTATATTTTTATGCATATAAATATCCTCCCATAACTAATTATTGAAAAACTATTGATGATTATTATTTAAAATTTGTGATAATGCTTTGACTATTGAAATTCAAGATCTTAAATTTTCTTAATAACTTTTTTTTCAAGTTTTGTGTTAAAGCTCTTTATCCTAATACAAAATTTTATGCATTTTCGAAGATACTTCAATAATGAATTTCTAAAGGTAACAAGTATCCACTGATATCGGTCGGGTCCATCCTCGAAAAGGACTTGTCCGATTACAAAGTCAAATCGCATTCTTTGTCCCTGTCTACTAGGAACTCGTGTCTGAATGCCTGATAAAATGTGGTATTTATTTCTACATCTTATACAATAGAAGACAGAATCATTTTATAGTATAGGAAGGGAGCACCATGAACATTAACCTCAATTTAAATAATCTGAGAAACTTTTGTGATATTGCTGTCTAATCTGGAGTCCGAAACAATATAGCTATTTTAATGTTTAATTTACCTGGAAGCCAGATGGCATGGCAATGATTTTCTAAAAGTGCATCAGTATCATCATCTTTAACCTAAGTAAAAAGAAGTATCCGATGGAAAAGCTCTTTAAGTATCAGGTTGGTATCTATTCAGCTTTTAAGAGTCAAAGCTAGAGGATATGAAAAACCTTTGATCCGATTGGTCTAAGTCCATATTCAGCAGAAGGAATACGATACTCTGAAACTATAGCTTTATCATTTTGATATCTTTGCTGTCAGCTCTCTTACAATCTTAGCAGCAACCATTGCGGTCATTCCATCAACAGTGTCTCGCTGTGGATTGAACTCAACCACGTCTGCAGCAACTACATCACCTTGGAGGTTGTGGAGGATGTTAAGGACATCGCGGAAAGAGAGACCTCCAGGCTCAATATGAGATACCCCAGGTGCAAAAGCAGGGTCAAGACAATCCACATCAACAGAAATATACACACCCTTTACTCCTTCTCCAAGTTTCTGTTAAAACATATATGAAAAATATTTATACATTAAGAAACCTTTTACTTCGAAAGCATACAAAATACCCATGGTTGACCATGACAGCCGCATAAATACAGACCAGATTTACTGTCCTAAATCAGCGGGCTTTTCCTGCAAGAAGTTCAAAGGTTTGCGATATTTTTGGTTCAAGGGATAAGCCAGCATAATATACAGCAGTCATCATGGTATACCTCATTACTCTTATCGTTTTTCAGACCACTTGAGCAATTTCCAGAATTTTTTGCTTAATTTTTACTCTACCTCTTGACAATCTCACCATCTCAACAATCAAATATGAAACATATATTTCAAACATACATCTGAGAGAGAATATATATATATATGGAGAGAGAGAGAGAGAGAGAGAGAGAGAGAGAGAGAGAGAGAGAGAGAGAGAGACCAGGTTTTCCAAAAGGTGGCGATCTCTTGAAAAGGTCCGCATTTCATATTGCTCCACGCCAAACCGTTTGCCCTGTTCTCTCCCTTCACTTGTTATTGACCTTATTCCAACCTGCAAGATATGCAACTGCATCAGGCACATTAATAAAACTCAAATATATTCAGCTTCTAAGAATTTCACACTTAGCATATCCAACGTTCTAAAATGTTATTTTCTCAACAGTTCACAGTTTGCCTGCCCAATAATTCCAAGCATCTGAAAAAATGAACCAGGATGATCTGAACAGTTGCATAAAATCATATTTCAGAATTATAATATGTTTTTGGACTTCTTCATATGATTTCTTTTCTTCTGGCCAAACTAATTTGCAGTATATCTAGATGCCAATATGGACTACTAAAATATCCTAAAAGATTTCTTTGGCTCCTTGAAGTAATACCACTAAAAAATATCCTACTCATGGCTTCAAAAGAGCCAAAATCATCATGTGGAACAAGTTAGCTAGTTGATTTACTATTCGAAAAACTTGAACTAAGTTGTTGGCAGTGGTTGACTTGATTTGATTCCATGGCTTGCTGAATGTAAATAATAAAATTATTAATTTCCTAACAACGTACGTTTTTTAAACAATCATTCATCCAACTTTATTTTCACGTTCTCGAGGTATCATTAAAGATGAATGGGGTAGTTACACAACATAGGCAACAGCAAACAGGATCAGGAAACACATTAGGGAAACAGTATGAGGAAACGCACATAGGAAGGATGTGAACGATCTCCATTTACAGGTTATCTTAGGTACCAATAAATTAGCCACTCTGATCGATACGGTGCTAAAGGCCATGCTTGATTAATTAAAATATTATGAATTAGAAAAAAATTTTGGTCACCTGCAAAAGCCGTCTAGCATAACCGCCCTCCATAATCCGAGCAAAAGAAGAGGCATGTGAATAAATATTTCCTTCAAAAGCATTGTAAATATCAGGGTGGGCATCTAGATGAAGAATATCAACAGGTCCTCCAAGCTTTTCAGAGACAGCTCTTACAACAGGAAAAGATATTGAGTGGTCGCCACCTAGAACTAAGGGGCGTAATGGATCCTGAGAAAGCAGACATCATAGGAGCTTAAATTCATCTATTCAACTGAAAAAGTCATTAAACACATGTACATAAAGTGAAACAAAATCTCATTCCCAATAATTAAAATTTTCTCAAAAAAGGACAAGGGAATTACTTTTTCTGCAACTGGTGTAAAATGCAAATCCAATACTCAGATGTAATTCAGAAATCTTTTACCTAACATTTCCTGGTCATTTACCACGCGGACCAGAGACTTGGGATTCTAGGGCTCCCTGTGTCAACTGAATTAACAAAATATCCAATTAAGTGACCATTTTCATATTCTATAGGATGGGTTTTTGGACCACTGAATCAACACCTCTAAGGATTAAGAGTGATAGTCTACCATGTGTTATGGCTTCCCAACCTGTCGTAAATTGAATAGAAGTACAAATAAAAGGCAAGTGTATTTCTCTTCACACATTACTTCCCATTTCACTCAGGTAGGACTGCATAGTGCCTTGCAAATTAACTTTGCAGGTTTTATCACGGCCCAGAAGAAAGCAATTGAATTACCAACTCTTGTAAAAGGAATAAAGAAACGTGACAACTTAAGTGCACAGCAAGAATACGGGTCATGGGCAAGCCACCATTCTCAGCAGCTCAGAATAAAATTATTCATGCATTTCAAATTCCATTAAGAGGGCACATACTTTAGTTTGGAACAAGTAACGCAACATAGACAGAATCTTATTCATTCAACACTACTAAGAATAACTATTCTTCAGACTTAAATATTTGGTACAATCAAGTCAAACTCTCAATGGGATAATAGGAGGACATGAGCTAATGCTCTGCAGCTAAACGATACAAGAAAGATCACAGTGAACATGGACCTTAAATGTAATAATTATAAACCGTCAACCATTAATAGAAAACAGTAATTCACCTCTTCCATAACTAGCTTGACGGACTCACTTATGACATTCATCAACCTGTCATCATCTACACCACAATCTCGAATCTCTTGGACAGGGACATCACCAACATCTGTTAGTACCCGTGGATCATTTAGTTGTTTCCCTGCAGAGGCCAGCATCATTTAAACATATTTGTGTATGTTATTTGTATGTACCTATATGTGTACATAAAAGCCTGGTACAAAAATATGAGAGATAGTGGTTGCAAATTCCAGCAATATCGATGAAACATACAGATTAGAAAATTAGAAGTTTTTCCTCTGGAAAATTTCTAGTTAGAGCTTTAGATTGCTTGAGGTTGAAATTGATTCACAGGTATCACGAAGTTTGTTATGACACAATAAATTGTATCTCAATGACAAGATCAGGTAGAAAGTACGCACGTCCCTAACAGTTCATTAAGCATACTCATGATTGATGCAACCGGAAGTTCTTACATTTTTCCAGCAAATTAAATGTTGGATTCAAAGCATTCAAGATAACCTACGTCCTATATATAGCACATGACTAGCATCATTTCAAAGCACTTGATTATAGTCACCAAGGGGACTATGCATGGCGAATGAAACAAGCATGTGAATCAGCTCTTAATCAAGAGGCCTTAAGACTACCTTCTTCAGTTGTTGAGTTGGTGCTTCCACACCAAATAGCCTCCCTAATTCGCGGGGGAGCGAATGCTGGACCCTGAAGAAATGATGAATTATGTCCAAGAGGAACACCAAGAAGAGTCGATGATGCACCAGCTCCACCTAAGGCACGCACAAGTTCACCCTAGTAAGAATTCAAAATTTTAACCATCAGGTAAGTGTACTCTCTTGCCAAGGTCGCATCAAAATATCTAATTTAAGAAATTAAGTCAATCCTTATGGTTAGATAATAACTAAATAAATAAATAAACAAACAAATAAGAACAGTAAGTATAGAGCACATAGTCTCTCAAAGAAAAGAGAAAATTCAAATTATCTAAAGAAATTAAATTGAAATTAACAAAATAGTATGTTGGACCAACTACTAAGTAGTAACGGCGATGGGACATAAGTATTTAAGGATCAAGTTGACATATACCTTAAGCTTTGCCCTCTCCCGAATGAGAGTAAGAGAAGCATCTATAACACGATTTTGGCCCTTTTCTATTAAAGCAGCAGGTACATTTGCAGCTTTGAGTTTCTGCAAGTAATGAACTCCTCTCTGCCCTATGGTTGACATGGCTGTAAAACCATATACATTCACCTTTAATCAGCGAGCGGCTCTACACCTATATACTCTATAAAGTAAAGCAAAGCAAAGAACAACAACAGCAGCAACAACAACAACAACAACTACTACTACTACTACTACAATAATACTAATAATAATAATAATAATAGCAATAGTAATAAAACTAATAAACTAAGAACTAGGTGAAATTTTGATAAATTTGAGAATGCTCTGAAGATGAGATAGCATAGTTTCATTTCCCTTAGATGAAAAGAAAAAGGGTGATATAAAGGAAGATAAATGCTGGATTATACTACGAAATAAACAAAGGAAAAATAGACAAGATGCATAAGAGTTAAAACAACGCACTGAATAGAATAAAGCACGTAATCATAAATCCACGAGGAAACTTCTAGAGCAGTGCTTAGAACCTGACATTTTGCACTCGTTGGCAATTCCTTCACAGAGGATGAAAACTGATATAACAAGTAACAAATTTTCAACAAATTGGGTAACAAAATAAAATTCTCAAGCATAGGTTGTTCCCTGGCTTCGTTCGAATTCTGCAATTTAATCAAATCGCCGTCCCTTGATCAACCGTGAGGCACGACTCTAGAACATGTATTTGGTTTATAGAGCTTTTTAATTCAAAAATAAGATCGGTACATCTCAACTTTCTTTCATTTAAATTATAACTAATTTCTTCCTCATTTCAGCAACGTTACATAGCTCTTAAATTAAGCTACGAAATTCCTTCAACATTAAACAACGTAAAAAGCAGAAGATGAAAAAAAGAAAGACACGCTACTATTATCCGAGCAAATAGTAGAATCACAATCTACATAAATCCTCAGTTTGGCAGGTCAGAAAATTAACGATTGTGCAAAAATACCTTAATGAGAGAAGAGCAGAGAAGATGAATGAAACACAGAACGGAGAGAGAAGGACTGAGACAATACGGTAATGAGTCGTTCGAATTATAAAAGAGGAAGAGCGGGTTTTGGCAAAAATTAAACAAGAAGCAACCAGGCAACTTTTTCGCAAATTTCAATTGACTAGGAAGAAAAAGCATGCTCTCTCTCCGTACTTGAAATGAAAAACAAAAAAAGAAAGAGTAACGCAAATATCAGTGATAGACAATTATGTTGATTCACCCACATTCTTTGTATCTGAACTTTCACTTTAAGCGTAGGGGGAGTGCCCGTAATGCAGAAGTGAATTGATTCAGCCACTACCACATTCCTATCTGGGAATTCCATTTTAAGTTTCATGAGTGCCCGTGGTGGAGAAAAGTTAGTGGCCCTCGATGCCGTTGATTTTGCTGACATGGAATGTTTTGCCAAAACAAATCCAAGTGACAAATCCCAAAATAGCAAAAATGATGTCTCGCGCTTAGGGGGCGGCCCAATGTGAGCGGGGAAGTAGGCTAGTTGCAGCAGTTGCCACAATAGCGTCCAAATCAAATGACAGTAGAGGTTGGTTTATGGGACTCGTGAGTCACGGGACATTTTATTTTTATTATATATATATTTATCATTCAATTAAATTATTTATTACGTAAAAATAATTTTAACTTTTTTAAAAATAATTTTGTATGCTTTTAAAGTTAATACTTTTTTTGTCTACAGTGGTGCTAGAAAAGAACATCTTCTATACTCATTGATTTTATTACTTGTAGTTTTTTACTAAACAAGTGGCTGAAGAGTTTTTATGTAAAAATTTATTGATGTTCTGCAATTGATTTATTTTCTCTTGATTGATTGATTAATATAATATCTATTTTAATTTTGCGCAAGAAGGAAAAAGATTAACTGATATTGCACCTTTCTGCCCTTTTGCACATTGTCCATAACTGCTCTTCAATCTTCTTTCTTCTGATATATTTCTGCTTTCCTTTTCTCCCTCTTCAACTTGTGGGTTCTCTATGTTATGAAAGAAGAAACACAATGAGGAAGCGGTATGAGTTTTTTTAAGCTGAGAACCTTTCAATAAAATGCTCTAATTTTAACACCATTAGATCCCATTCGTCAGGGCAATATATCTACGAGTTTGTTTCTTTTTTTTTTCTTAATTCAGCTTATAAAAAGTAACTGTACCCAATTGTCTCATCACTAGTTTTAACTAAAAGAATTCAATAATTTACTTGAACACTGAAGCAAGTTTTGCCAGTGATTAACTATTTGTGCAACACAACACATTATGTAAATGAACCTGCTCCAAACATATTATAAGTTTTATATATTTTTTTTTATACTCATTAACATTGAGCGTAAAACTCAAGACTTTTAAACCTCACAGAATTTGAAATTTGAAGAGTCAAAAGGAAAAAAAAAAAACGAGATGTAAATACTGTTTGAAATGAGACAGAAAAGAATTATGAGCTTCCAAGGAAAAGAAGTTTAGATTCAAGTAAATATCTAGACTAATTCTTCCTCAAAAGTAATCTAGGCTAATTGTTACATACAAGGAGCATTTGAGGGCACGTGTAAGGCAACAAGTTAAGAAATAGTTTATACCCGCTGAATAACAACCAAGGAATTAAACTCAAGCAAAATACTGGCTTTTAATTTTGATCTATGGGAAGAAACCATACAATTCAGAAACCTTCTGTAACGGCACACTTCATTACAAAAATTTGCACCTAGCTCTACTTTTTAATACAGTTCAAAATTTTATATTCTACTACTAATAATATATTACAAAGTCTTAGCTTGCAGACCTGATAAATAAATCTCCACAAAACATAGGGATGAGAGACCTCCATCTCCAACTCAATCCGTTTGTAAAGTTTGGCACAATCCCAAGGTAACGTATTGACACACAATTGCTAAGACAGATACCATTCCGTGCATCGTCTCAGCTGAAATCCATCCTTGAGCAAGCAGAAACACAAAAACTCAGGGAAGACCATACGCTCCTAGAATGGCATTAAAAAGAGCTTAAGGAAAGACTAGCATCCAATTTAGGGAGTCAAAACCCAGTAGACTCGACCAATGAAGAATATGATGCATTTTCGTCAGCAGCAGGATGCCCCTTTTCATGATCCTTCCTTTAACACTTTGTGTTTACTCTTAGGAAATAATCCTGCAACTTGGCCAGCCAATTCACCCAATTCAAATCTTTGTTGCTTCATTGATTCCAAGTCACCTTCCCAACAGGTTTCAGAAATAATTTCAAGTGCTTTGTCCATCTTATCCTCCACCACAAGATCTCCATTTTGAAGGAGGACAAGGTAAACTTGTTCAGCAGCAGCTTTACGAATCTACAATGAAAAAGCAAGAAGAAAGAAGGTTTACTGACTCGAAAGAACAGGTTATCATATCATTGCTTTCAAAGAAGCAGCTTGGAAAGTAAAACTCCAAAGAGACTAAACAAAGTTCACAGAGAAACACATACAAGTTGGTTTTCCGAAAGTAAAGCAGCTCCATCAGGCACAGAATGCAAAAATGATTTTCAAAAGATTTATATTATGCAAGATTTTTCTTAACACCGCTTACCTTAGGGTATCGATGGCCAAGAAACGTAAGAAGTTGAGAGAAGGCCCGGGCATTGATGGGCTCCATAACTGAACTGATGTATCCAAGTACTGCAATGCCTGAGTATAACTTAGAGAAGTCCTTAGAACCTTTTAATTCCATTGCCAGGGAATCCAAAACACCAGCATAAAAAGTCAAAGTGTGATCCTGGAAATCAAAATTGTAACAATCATTTACATTTATTCATACAAGAATTTCTCATCACCCAGCCTCTCCATTCAATACATGAGTTCTACTCCTATGCGAACTCTCACAACATCAATCGGCAAAAGAAAAGGCAAATAAATCAAAAAACCACACTCATGCTTCTGAGAGTTTCTATATAGACCAAGATTGACACAATACTCTTTTTTTTTCCAGATTAGTAGATTGATATAATGCTTTAAAGAAATAATTCACACAGGATAGAATGAGATGACAGAGCAGAAACTCATCAGCTCTTATTTCAAGAAATTGTACTTCAATCACCATGACCATCGATTCTTTTAAATTAAATTTTGTTACTCACCCGTTTTTGACATATTTGGTCTTCATATAATTAGTTCCCAGTTGTAGTTATGCAGATGGACTTTGATTACAATTGATATAATTCTCGCTCTCATTTCTCTTGAAATGTGTTATTAACTTTGAAAGCTGGGGGATGGAGAATTGGCAAAAAACTAAAATGTCCTAGGGTGCTAGAGAAAAATATTCAGCCTTCAGAAATTTACAGCATCCCTTGCAAACAAATAAAGTATAAACAACACCAACCCCCAGATTAATCTGGCTGTGGCAACAAGAGGAAGAGAAAGAAAGGGATGCAGTTAACATACCTCTGTATTAAAAAATACCTTCCTGCTGAGTAGAATTTCAATAGTCTGAAAATACATAAGAAAAAAAAAAAAGTTAATCAATGGAGTCTATAACCAAGATCAGAATTGTAGAATAATGAAATATGGCAGAGAGTCTAGACAAAGTATGCAAGTACAAAAATGCACGATCAATTGCCAAAAATCAATTTCGAGATAGCTCATCCAAAAGCAAGGAGTAATTCGAGAGATGCTTACTCCAATATTTTAATTATCACCTTGTTTAATTATTTTGGTCATTTTCTTCATATATTAGATATATAATAAAATATCCAATCTGGCAAAAGCAGGCCAAAAGCAAATTAGGAGCCGACCATTTGCTTCAATAATTCAAAAACTTCAAAGCAGTGGCCAAACATACTTTTTCATCAGGAGATAGAAATTATTTCAGTTATTGTGCTAAGAAATTAACTAGGAAAAGAAAAAGATAAGGTATGTTTAGCTGTGAAAAATTTTTGCCCAGAAATGTTTTTCCAAAAGTGATGAAAGCTTTGTTTGGTTACTACAGTAAGAAAACCTGTCTGGAACCTTTAGGAAAATTTAACATGTCCAACTAAAACCCTGTGAGTTAGGGCAACTTGACAGTAAGAACATGTGCACTTGAAAGAAAGCTTTGTCACCAATAGTTCTGTTGTATTGCTAAAGCAACAAATTCATAGCAATTACAGTTTCTTTTTATTCTTTCCCTTTTTGGGAGAATATCAACAGCAGCTTCTGTTACCTTAAAGGTGGGTATAATGACTCTATCACATTTCTTGTATTCTTGTAGAATCCAGAGTATGTCATTAGATAGCAAACATTCTCTCAGACTTCTTTCATTGAGGTCCTCAGCTTCACCTGCTTGAAGATAATCCAACAGTGCCAGGATGGATACTTTTCTCAAAGAATCTTGCAGTCCACCAATTGATATGACCAATCCTGACAGCACAGCTTTACTATAGCAACTAAATTTCAATAACTGTACCAAACGAGGATATGAAAAGGTAGGTACCTACAGCAAGCATGCAATGATTATTTAGCTTAAAACCAGAAAACTAATCAAGCAAAATGAAAAAGTTAACCATGTATCCTCACCCCCCACTTCAAATCTCCATCATTAGGGATAAGTTCTTCAAGTTTTTCTCGATAAGGTATAAATGGGACAAAAATTTTCTCGTGATGCAAAATCCTTTGAAGAACCTTTGCAGCAGCTTCTCTTAGTTTATCCATCTTCTCTACAGCTTGCTTGACAAGTGCCCCAACCAAGGTAGCTGCAAGATTTGCATCAAATAATGAGGTAATCTGGTCATTCTTGGTTAAGTTACAATCATGCCTCTCCAACCCAGACTCAACTACACATGCTTTTCGCACTGCACCAATTGAATCTCTCTTGCAAAGGATGTATACACATCTTTCTATGCCATTAATAGCAGCATCACGAACCCAAGAACCTACATCTCTCTATTATCAACAGAATAGTCATCAAGAGCTTTAAATAAACAATTCATCACTTTGTTCTTGATCAGACAAAATAGAGGCACATCATCCTCCCTAGAACGAATTTCAGAATGTTCTCTCGTCTCAGTTAATGTCTCACATACAGATACAAGCCCTCTAACAGCATTTACACGTGCTTCAGCATCTCTCTGCTCAGGATTATCCTACATAAACAATCATCCAGCGATAAGATTCAGTTAACTGAATGAGAAATTTTCGTAATAACAGAATTATCCATCAGCAAGTGTACCTCAATTGCACAACATTGACAAAGCTTCGTAAGCACATCTTTCCACTGACTGGCCAAAAGTTCATATGGCAAAACACCTAATGCCAATGCAGAACCTCTTCGAACAGCCACATTTGCATCTTTCAGCAGCTCTAGGTACTTCAACGTTATACCACAAGCATCTGCACCACTAGTAGTGACAAGGTATGCTTGAACAAATTGTTTAATAGCTTTAACAGCTGCATTCTGTACATAACAATAATCTTTCAGAATTTAGTGTCATAAAGCAGATAACATAAATCAAAAGGCAAAAATCTTAACAAGACAAGGACCTGTATTTGAGAATTAGGGTGTCTTAGATTCTCATTGAGAGTATCAAGCAAGCTTCGCTTTATTTTTTCTGATAGTGACACATGAGACAAAGAGATACACTCGATGAACCTTGAAACAGCAGAGCGCATTATCTCGCCACCCTTCCCACGGTAAAGGCGTGCTTTCTCAATGGCAGGGACAATGCCAGCAACATGTTTTTGTTTATCTGTAAAATTTTGAAAGAAAAATGTCCAATGTAATGTAAATGACAAGCCCAAAAGCAAATAAGAAAAGCTGTCATGTTGAGTAAAGACCACTAGGCAAAAGATCAATTTTACAACCAAAAGAAACAGCTAACAAAATAATCTCTCTTAGAGAAGCTTCCCCAGTTGCTTGCTAGAAATCTGAATAAACTGGCTGAATCATCTAAATCTAGACCAACCAAGCCAACATTCATTTTCCAAAACTACTCCTAATTATCTCCATTTTGTTTCTTTCCCAAACCTTTAGCTTCACATTCTCCATGCTGAGAACTGAGAGTTTACTCCCAAAAAGGAAACTGTCTTCAGTATAGACTCACACCAACTGAGGGAGATGCCTTTAGACAATAATATACCAGTATCAGATTGTTTCACAAATACTTAATATTTTCTTCATAGGAAAAGAAATGATATTGTTAAGAAGAACTTACAAAAGGAGCACCAAGTATCCCAAAAAAAGAAAATAAATAAAAGAGAAATAAAAAGAAAATTAATCTTGCAAAAGAATAGTTAGTGAATGTCTATACAAGATAGAAAAAGATTTATCCTTAAATTGCCCGTGAGCCTTAGTCCATAAGGATGCCAAGAAAGAATAAAAAAAGTAGAGATGTGATTCCTGAAAATCCTAGCATCAAGCTAGCCATATCACCCACAACCTAGTGAAGAAAAGCCCCCTTCGCTTTGACCTCCTTCAAACTCATACCCAGCATAAGAGAAAAAAAAAATCCAGAATAATACAGCGAGAAACCCAAGAAACAGAAAAAATATCAAAAATATGTACACTAGAAGAGAGAAACAACAAAAGAAACTGCATACTAGAAGAGAGAAACAGTAGAATTCCAAGTCTTCGCAATTCTAAGCTCGAGAAAAAGAAAAGACAGAGAAGAAAAGGCTGTAGAGTAAGGAAATTTAGTGGAACGGTGAGTGCACGGTTAAAAGTGAAGAGGTTGGATCGCCAGAGAAAGAGTCCACTATCCACCACTAAATATTTAAGAAATTTCTAAACACCCTTTATTATCTATTTGAAACTTAAAATAATTTTTTTCTTTTGAAACCTAGAGATTAAGCATAATGTCTTTTGAAATTATAATTATGTTAAATTTTCCCTCCAAACTTGTAATACATTAATTTTCTTCTTCCAAATTAAAAATAATTCACTGTTAGCTCGCTATTAAACTTTAAATATTGGTTGTTCAAAAGAGAGAACTAATATCAGTTGTTGTCTCGTTGACAACTAAGTTTCTAAAGACTGCACCCAATAATATGGTTAGAGTTTTGCTGAGTCCAAGTGGATTATTGCCTTGTTGGAACCTATTTTTTTGTACAAAAGGCGTCAACTGTAAACAAAATAAGACTAAATCTTTTCTGCACACCAACACAATAAATGGAAAATCAAAGGGTAAATAGTTTAAAAGCAAGCTGGTAAAGAAAATACATGTCAAATAAGGACTATGAAACAGAAGTACCGACCAGAAGAAAGAGCATAACCACACTGATGTATGGCCAACACAATTTCTCCAGCTGCCAATGTCGCACCATGACGCATGCATAAATCAGAGGAAAGAGTGCAAGGTATCAGTTTCTCCAGCACCAAGTTCACAAAGTGATCAGGATCATATTTTACAAGGGCAGAAAGAGCCTCTGCAGCTAGTTCTCTCAATCCCTTATCCTAAGATATAAATAGTAACTGGTTATTCATTATTAAAAATTTCAAAACATGAAATGCAGCAACATAAAAGATTTTTTAAAGTTCATGGCAGATTTTGCATTCCATCTCAGTTATATCAATTGCTGTGTGAAGTTAACCGCCAACCAAATCCAGGTTTTCTTTAATGAAGGTGGCAAACATCAGAGGCTAAAAGAAATTTAACAATCATCAGCACAAGATTGCTGCAAAATAATCAAGTCAAGCATGGTATCTTCCCAGAGACCATCAGAGTTCATTCTAAAATCTGCAAGTTGGTTTTAGTAAGCATTTTTTTTAAATTTATCAGTGCTTACTAAAACTCTGGATCCCAATTAACTTCTTTAATTTGTTACAAAACTTCTGAACTTCATTACCAATAAGTGGAAAAATGATGTTTCTTTACCCACCATCATTCAAAATAACTCTTCCCTACAACAGGAAAGGAAAAAACTATTTTGCATTAAATAGAACAGAAACAATCTGCACCTAAAGGAAAAAAAAAAGGCAATGAAAATACGGACAAGGAGAAGAGATCTACAAGATCCCATTGAAGAATCATTTTATGTCACATTAGCCCTACCAAAATTGAGTAAAACTAGGAGCCTACCCTCCTCCCAAATCCCAGTTCAGTACGAACAAGAAGCATTAAAAAAAATGAGTTCAATGATACAGCTGTGAAGTTGTAGACCGTGTAGCCTTCACATGCCAAGTTTATAGTAAGTGCAAAAAGGACAACAGGTACTAGCATACTATTATCATCCAAGAAAGGAAAGTGAATCAACAACCAGTCACAAATCAATCCAGGAACTGTCAAGTCCATTTTCATTGTGGAGATGGCATAACACAGAGTTTAAGATAATACCCAATGGCAAATCTTGTTATTCAGCAGTTCATCCACAAATGGATGAAGATATCCCTCATACTGAGCAATACAGACTGCAACATGGAGATAAGAGTTCAACCGTGATGAAAGTGAAAAGTAATCTGCTATATTCACTATGTTGATTCCATGAGGGAAATTCCCTTGCCTCCCTACGTTCTCCTGAAAAGCAGCTGCAGCCGCCCTTCTACAGTTGACCTAATTATGATATGGAAAAAGTTAGGTAACGAAACCACATGATAATATGATGAACTCGTGGAGGTCAACAAAACCCAGGGAAGGGGGAAGGAGAACATAATAACAATAAGGATTAGCACCTCACGGTCATAGCAAGCCACTGTCAGTAAGTGGGGAGCTAGCTGTTCCAACACCTTTCTCATATCTGTGTGGTAATATGCACGACCAAATGCCCAGCAAACATAGGCAGCTGCATCACGGACATGAGATCCAACACTATGGGGACCTCTTCGCACATCATAATGCAGTGCCTGTTAAGAAAATTCAATTCTGATCAGCATTATTGAGTCACACTTGTTCATGGTACAATAAGTTACCTGAAAGTGACTGCTTGGAAAATCATAGCAGATTTCTGAAATTAATCAAGAAAGAACTAATTTCAAGTGATGTGATCCAAGTAGAAAAGCATACAGCTTAAATATATTCCCAACAAAGTGAAACAATACTTGGAAAATTATTCACGACAAACCATACCACGGTGAAATGGCATGAAAACACAACTGGCTAAACTTCAATAAGAATGCGAAGGGACATCATTCTTCAAAAATGAAATCCTAAATTTATGCATATAAATACATCAGAATTTAACTATTTGTTACAAACAAATCCTGGATCATTATGCCAGAGTTTGACACCTTTTCTTGGTATGCCAGAATTTGACAATTGAAAACAAATAGATCCAGTAACCAAACCTGACAAGGAAACAGAAAAGTACAACCTTCACAACAACAGGTACAACTTTGGGAAGACTTCTAGGTAAGAGCAATCCTCTACGTGCCAATTCAGCCAATGCCAAGCAACCCCCATGCCACGAACCATCTCCCTGAAAATTTATAGTGAATCAAAATGATTCTGCATCTCCAGAAATGTCACCCATAAAGGTACTTAAAGTTAATCAGTGAGAATGCAGTTCCAATTAGATTTGTCTAACATAGCCACTCTGTACATTTCAATGATAGTATACCTCGCCTGGTGAGAAAAGCTCCAATACAGATGAAACAATCTCTTCTGATAGGGAAGATGTTAAACGCGAAGTAACTCGACCTACACCTTTTGCAGCAGACCAACGGACAACAGTGTCCTACAGGACCACCAATACAACAATATCAGCAGAGAAAAAAAAAAGGTAAGTTTTCGCAAAGGCAGACTTGAGCCGAATGAAAAACAAGAGGGAGGATGAACTAACCCAAATTGGACTGATAAACATATTCATAACATATTATGGTCTAATCATGCCCTAGGTTGCAAGGATTTACTAGAATACCTTATATAAAGGTTATGAACTGCCTTGAAAAGTGAATGCTATATGCAAACTTTCTCCTTGAAGGCTCACCATTTTATTATTAGAAATCTACCAAAGAAACTAACTTAAACTAGGTAAAGAAAAAGGTTCTTTGCAAACTCAGACCATACCACATTTTCATCCCTCTAATTTGAACCAACACATTGTTTCTCATTATTCAGATTTTTCCAAGTACTCAAAACTCTCTTCAATCTCTCATGCTCTATGCATCTTCTAGATGATCTCAACAAATGAAAATGCCAGGACTCTGTAAGTAACTCCGCGAAATGCTGCAGTGGGAGGGAAAGGGCCACATATTGCATATTGCTTACGAGGCCTGACACTGAAAATGACAACACCAGCATACAGTTTTTCTAAAGCTTAGGAGGCTCAAATCAATGAGATATTAAACACTGGTGCATCTAGAGACCAAGCAAGCCAGCTTTGCAGAATTATCATCCAAAGCATTCAATGATGCGGTTACTTTACAAGAAAAACAATCCAGTTCTCACTGGATCTCACCCTTGAAACATACCGTGTCCCTCAATCCAGAAAGTAACATCTCAATGATCTCTTCAATTATTTCTGGAACATCCATATCTTCCTCTTCAGGGCAGTTCGAATTTTCTTGTAGTCTTGTGGGCTCAGGAATCACACTGTGCTCCAACTGATCGATATTTCTGGATGTAGTCAAAGAAATATTCTTGCCAAATGAGCTAGTTTTTCCCTGCAAGGAAAGCACGTGAAGGTACCATCAATTGGTTATTACTAAGTGGTTGACCACAACAACTTCCACAGGAGTAGTTTCTTGAAACAGCAACCTAAAAAGAGGGAATATAGAAACTGGCAAGGAAAATTGAAGGCTGGAGGGGCAAACAAAGGAAAAAGAGATCTAAAAAAGTTTCCAAATATTTGTTCCATGAAAGCCAAATCAAAAAAAATTTTCTCAACATCTTAATCAATCAAAATTCGAATCAGCACATCTCTTCAAAATTAAAGATCAAAACCAGACCACATAACGCCAGGATAGTGAACGATGAGGAAGAGAAGTGAGCCCAATTCGTTGAGTTAACTTGACCAAGTACTTGCGAAGTAAAGGACTCCGAGCTGCAGTACTTGACTTGCTTAACACAGAGACATCATTCCAGACTACAGGAACCACATCCAATAATAGTTTCCGAGCACCAGCCTGACTATAACAAGATACATATGAGAATTAAATGCTGAACATATAGCAGGAAATGTTAAGGTAATGTTTAGAACAAATTTAGAATTTCTTTAGTATTTATTTGCAAATACACACCTAATTTCATTAGAAAAATGCAATTCTATTAGAAGATTATAAAAATTGAGCTCGTAGAGAATTTCACGAGAAATTAGAACAATGTATTCCAAATTCCATCAAATTTTATGAAGTTTTGTAAGTTTTGTTCCAATTCCATATAAGTTCAAAGTTTATTATTTTAGTAGGACTCTCATCATCTTTTAGTTTAAAAAGTATGGATTTGCAAATAAATTACACACAAAGTTTTAATTCTTTTCCAAACATAACCTAAAAATTAATACTACAAAAAACATCAGATGATATCGTTTTAAGTTGACAGGATTGAAAAAATAAATAAATAAAAGCAATATGTAACTTGAAATCTATACTTCTTCAATACGAAAAAGAAGTGTTTGTTATATAGTACAATCAACTTCAACTAACAACAGTGTCTGTTATATGGTACAATCAACTTCAACTAACAATACAAACCTTAAAAATGGCAGCCAATGCTTCCACTGCACCAAGTAACTGAAAATGATTCATGACATCATCTGAGATAGAAGATGAGACTTTGTGCGCCCACTCAACAAAGCTGAAAAGCAGCAAAATAGATGAGTATGTAATGTTGTATGGTACAGAGTAATTAATTTCTCCGTACAGTAAGATTAGCCCGAGATCAAAAATTCCATAGAAATGATACATATTAAACCAGTGATTCATTCTAATGCAATTAAAAAAAAAAGTTTCTCCTTCTCAAAGAGGCCAGGAAAGAAGTATATCAACAACAACACCAGAATTCAATTAAAAGTTTTTAAAAAGAACTATATTCTAGCAGCAATTTTCGAATAGATTATTCAAAAAATTTTGGTGACAAGACATCAGAAGTGATAAGGAAAACCTTGTAAAGGCCTTTGTCATGTCTGGACGCGTTAGAAGCCTAGAGAGCAGCAGCCCAGCTATGGTGCGCATTGGACCAGAACTGCAAAGATAATCCTTAGAGAAACCAAGTATCCTTAGTACCAGTGGAGCAGGCTCATTCTCATCAATACTGCTATCATTTGCAATGCTAGTATCAACAGAGGAGATATCAAATGGAACTAATACAAGAATAGAGAGCCACAAGAGTATCACACATTGCGCTTCCATCTCCCCAGTGCTTTCTTGACGCAAGAAGTCACTGAAGCTGTATTGTGGCACTTCTCCAAAAGAGAAACTGCGAGTTCCAAATCGGATACTTGATGTGGGAAGAACTTGATGACGGCTTTGTATCCGCAAACTGTAACGAGAGAATAAATAATGATACTTATTGGCTTGATTACTTGGAGAATTTCATCAGACTCTACACCTAATTCAACGGTTTTAGAACGGATAATGGACATCAAAGGAGAAACTATGCTCTCGAGATAAGGCTCTAGGAGTTGGCCCTGCTCCTGATACTTATCCATCTGCATCACATAACAAGATATTAAACAGTAAGTTGTTTTTTCCTTTTTAATTATGAATTATCATGGAGATAGCAGAACGAATTTCAACGAAATGAAAATTAAACAGTTCAACTAATTTGTAATGACAATATGTTATCCACAATCATCAACAAATTAAAAACAGTTGCAAGGTCCAGAAAGAGAATACGATAGATCGGATCTTGTAGACAGAAGAAGGATCCGTCACGCGGCCATTTGAAACGATGTCCTCTAAGAGGGATTTGACGAGTTTCCATTCTTGCAAGAAGTACCTCTGCAGAACCCTCTCTTTGGAATCGTGCTCGTCGTCTTCTTCTTCGTTCATCGCCACCTCTCTTTCCTCCTTCGAGGTGTCCTGACTCTTTATTGTCGCCATTGTTTTTGATATTCAATTCGATTTGCCCAGAGAGGAGAGGTTTGATTCCCGCCTGTGGGAGGGAACACTCACTGGTCTCTAGAATACTTGTGCGAACCAATTATTCGGTAATACGTTATGTAGACCAAGTTTATGGTGTATAATCGTCTTAATTAAGAAAATGCCGGTTAATTATTTTAAAAAGCCAATATTTGAAATAATAAATGTGTCGTCAGGTGGTTGGGATGGAAGGCTTGTTCCTGGAGTGTGTTCCGGAACTCCATTGGACTGGGTTGGAAATTGGAAAAAGTGGGCTGGAACAGAGAGAGTGTCCAATTCTATAAATGAACCGGAGAAGAGAGAGAATAATTAAAAAAAATGGTAAAAAGAACATTCCGTTGCCGGGACTTGAACCCGGGTCTTTCGGGTGAGAGCCGAATATCCTGACCAACTAGACTACAACGGATCCATGCTTTGGGATATCGAGTAAATTATTTGTAATATACTTCCAATTATAAGGTAAAAGTGAAAGTTAAATTTTAAGCGACACTATATAAATAATAATATAATATCTTATTTTACACAATAATATAAAAAATAATTAATAAAAAAAAGATCTTAGTGGAGAAAAGAGACTAGAGATGAAGTGCAAGAAAAGAAAGAAGATATGAATAGTTATATGCACAAGATAATTGAGAAGAAATTTTAAATTATTATTATTTTTTAGTTAAGTTTGAAAATAATAAAAAAAAAAGACCAATAGATAAAATTATATCATAAAATTAAAGAAGATTATGAAAATTTGTAGATCTTATTTGTATAATTTCTTTTATACTGTGGTAATCCTTAAAATATTTTATATTATATAAATTTTTTTCTTTTAATTAAGTAAAAATAATATAACTAAAAGTATTTTAAGTGATGATATTAAGATTTATTGAGCATATGATTTTTTTTTATTACTCTGTATTATGAACATGTAATATATTAAGTAAATTATTGTTATCCATCTCTCGAGAATTTTAGAATTAAGAAACATTAAACCAAACTCTAATATCAAATATCATTTCATTAGATATTACATTGCTAAAAAGGAAGTTGAGCTCAAGTGCACGAAGGGTTAAGATCAAGTTAGTAGTTGATATTTATTATTCATAAATTAGAATTATTATACGCCTTTTAGTTTGTTGGTAGTTGTGATTCATAAATTAGAAATATTATCTGCCTTGATTTATTATTGATTGTAATTCATAAATTAGAGTTACTTGTTATTCATGTATTTAAAATTTTTAAAAATTGTATTAATATTTATATATAGTTATGGGCTTAATGCTTTTAGGAATAAACACAATTGAAAACTTGAATCTTTATATTAATCTCTCTTACTTCTTCCTCCAATTTTCAAGCGTAACACCAACATTCTTGTATATCTTTGGTGCCTAAAACTAAGTACCATAAGATTCTTCAGATATTTACTCTATTAATTTATGTATTGTGAAAACTATTATTAAATAGACTTTTATTCTTTTTTCAAATAATATTGCGAGCAATTATTATACTGCTTGTTTGATAAAGAGACTTGTTTTTCTGTAGAATCTGTGAAGTAGTTTATATTTGTCAAACAAAGAAGTTTATACTTATAAAAAATGTTATCAAACTCTTTAATTTATTTCACATATACATTAACACACATCTTAAATTTTCCACAATAAATTAGAAACACCATATAATATAACTGGAGAAAAAACTTCACAATTCACACTTTTCATGTATCCATTACGTATAATTTTTATCTACACAACATGAATAAGAACAACGAAAATAACACAGAAGAAGATGGGTGGGGATGATCATTATATGCAGAAACAAGGTTTACATCCTCATGGAAGATAGAGATAGAGGTCTGATTATGGCTTCTTGACGACCCTGGCTCGATAAGCAGCCGCGTATCTATGAAACAAAGCGAGAGCATTGCTTGTGACTTGAGCCACGTTTGTGACTTTACCCTTGATGGTAGCCTTCATCTTGCTCATTCGACGACCTGGGAACTCATTAATGCAATTAAAAGCATTGGTGAGAGCGGACCCTTCCCAAGTCTCAATATTACTGATATGCCAAGAGTAATCATCGTCTAAATCTTGTTCAATTAAGCGGTGTAGCTCTTTAATTGACTGGCCGAGTTGGTCTACGCTCTCACTTATTTGTGCCAAACAATCTCTCACGGCTGGCCACTCCCTTGCCTTGACTGCCTTGAGTTCTTTTTCCACTTTCAATAAATATGACCTGGTGTGTTGGGCTCTATACAAACTTACGATCAAAGAGATTTGAGCCAACTCTTCTGGGGTCTTGGCTGTATGGTTGGCGAACGCGGAGAGACTCCGGACACAGAGGGCTCGGTAGCGGGTTTTATTGCAGGACTCCTTGATGTAGTCCAGGGACCTGGATGAATGCCTGGCTCCAGAGGCTGACTCGATAAAGCCTCCAAGGCAAAAGATGGAGAGTAGAAGAAGGGAAAGGCGGAGTTTGACCATGGATAATGATGGTTGAAGAATTAAACGAGTGAGACTGATAGAGAATGATGTTGAAAAGAGGTAGTAGCCGAAGAGTATTTATAGGTAGAAAGAGGAGAAATGGCACATGCTAACTCTGCCAGCTTCGTTTAATGAACCGCAAAGCATGCACTACTTGTAGCCTAATATGCAGTTGAATTTGAAAAAATAAAGATGTGTAAATGCTTGAGTTGCTGTCATGTGCTTAGCTGGATTATTCTTTTACTTGACAATTACAAGAGATCTGTATGTATCTGTATACATATATATATATATATATATTATGCAAGCTCCTAGCATTTGCCGGAGAAAGCACGTGCGGTATATCCTACATTTGAAGGTGCTAGGTTTCTCTATTGTTGTTGGCCTAAAGAGTTTTTAATTTCATTCAAATCTTTTTTATATTTTTTAGTCAATTTTGTATATTAAATTTAAGTTTTTCTAATGATTTTAAAAGTGAATTCTAAAATATTTTCCAACACGTCAGCCATCTGCAAATTTTAATCATAAAGTGATACAACAAAATCAGACGGAGGAAGTTTACTTGCTTGTAAAAAATAAAAGAAATGGGTGGACACGTGAAAGACTAAGGCGATGCCCACGGGAGATTAAAGAAACACTAATATTCTTCTTAATTTTTGACTCACCAATAAATGGATAGGAACAGCAAGATGGCCAGCATGATCCTCAAATCAAGGTTATGGAATTCTAAAAATCAATCAATCAATAAATAAATCTACGCAATATAATCTTCTTTTGCACGTTAACAAAGTAATTAATCAATCGCTTGAGCGAAACGCACATAACTCATTGAATTTTGTTGAACAAATCATACACTCTGTTTCTTTTGCATGTGTGATTCAAATGCATATTTCTTGTGGATCCTTTTGACATAAAAGGACATTTAGTTCAACAGAATTAGCCACAGCATTTAGGTCCGACCAAGCAGCGTCCATCATGTTAATCAATGACTTTGAGAAATCGTGGATAGCTTTTAAAACACTTCCTACAGATTTCGTGGAGAGATCAAGGGTCAAATCCACAGATCAGAATCCATTCTCTACTCCTGAAACTTCTGATTCTTCGCCAGACAAGCCCCTAAGCTTCAGATTCTTATCCAGCTTTGCTCGTGCCTGATTTGTTTTCTCAATCCATTGTGCAGCTGAATAATCTCAGGAATCTTTATTTTGGATTTCAGCCTGAAATTTAATTCACCATAACCTCATATGTTTTCAGTAGGCTCTGCTGCTCTTGGATCTCTGCAGCTAAGTGGGAATCCTAGGAGAAACACATTCTGGCTTGGGGTTGTTTTCCCTGTAGAAATGCTTCAGCTCAGAAAGATTCTTGTGCTCAGAAATGACTTGTTTATCAGCAGGTTGAATTTTGTCTGTCATAGGGCATATGAGCTGCTTGAAGTTCGATATAAACAGACTTCAATTCAACAAGGAGATATTAGTAAATATTTTGGATATCAGGGATTGCATAACTTCCGGATTCTGATTCATGGTCTCTTGCATGGGTTGAGGGTGAACGTTTTGGCTGTTGCTCTCATGGAGTTAGGTTCCCGTCAAGCCAGTGGGTAGCATAGCTACTACCAACAAGTAGTTAAATGAACTATACTTAAGTAACAAACATCAATAAAAAGCCTGCAATGTTGAACGAAAGAGTAAATAGAATTTGCTGGCAATCAGAAATGTAAAGAGAGAAATCTTAATGCAATGAGCCAGAAATGCGAACTTTGCTGGAAATTAGAAATATGAAGACAGAAATCATGAACATAACTATTAGGTTAATGAGAAAAAAAAAAAAAAAAAACTTTATTCTACACTAACTTGTGTTGGATGATTAAGTAGCCAAAATTATATGATAATGAAAGATGTTTTGGGGTGCAGAAGATGCTAGGCTCCTGTGCTGAGTGCCATAAGTACAAAATAGCAGAAGTCTATTTGGGAAATGAATCATATCTCCAGGACAAACAAGGTAGAGATTGAGATTAGTAAACTGGCTTTCAGTCAGTCAGAGCACCTCTAGTAAACTAAACAGTTATGAAGATAGAGATTGAAGAACCAGACATATGCCTAGAGCACAATCAGCTAAAACAAGGCACTACAAGGAAGCAGGTTTGGTAATAATCAGCAGCAAGGAATGCTGACAAATGTGGTTGACATAAAAACAGGTCTTGCTGAAGCAGGAAAGAGAGTTAAAATGGGGGCTTCCTTTGTTAACAATCAGCAAGAAGACACAATGCGGCAATGTGCTTGGCAGGACAAGAGCTCCAAATTAAACATCGATACATGGAATCAAAGAAAACACCGAGTATATGGAGTGTTGCTTCAGATACATGGAATCAAAGAAAAAAATACTTATGTCTCAACCACTGATACGGATTTTAGATTGGTCCTTAAGCTTTAAATTTAAAATTATAGACTCAACATTTTAATCCATTTCAACCAAGTACCGATATTTTAGTTGTTCTTAATCAATTACAGAATCAATGCCAATACACCACAAGAACCACACAGGCATCATACAAATATCAAATAACTTATGCAGTATTCAAAACACTCAAAACTCTCTTTTCTCTGCTCGGGCCAGGAAAAGAAATTGATTGGTTGATGTTGTACAAACTATTTAATACTTATGTATCACTTATTTAGCACTTAAATGGCCATACAGGATTTTTCCTTATTGAATACTGATGTAACTGAAGGAGACTAGACTGAGATGGATTAAAAGTCTGCTCTATAATTCTTGTTTAAAAGTCAATGATTAATCTAAAGCAAAATAAAAAACTAAGGGGCAGAGAATAAATTTAAATTATGTTATGACAAAGTAAATGAAGTTCGGAAGTTCAGATATATCCGCTCCTTAGAGAATGACTCAAAATACATCTGAACATTTGTGGGCTGCATCTGAAAGCACTCTAAGATGCTAATAAATGCCATGTATTGTAAAGGTCTAAAGTTTAATTGAAATGAAAATATTGAATTAATCAAATAGTAGCAGAAGCAATTGAGAGTTTAAAATTTACATTTTTTGCATAGTAAATTAGAATATCTAATAGGGTTACGGGAATATCCATTTTAAAAAATTAAAATAACAAAAATAGAAATATAACTAAAATCCTATAGGATCAACATTCGTTAGGCAACTCTGATGGGATGTGGGAGATAACCTTTAATCGCTAACTTTCCTGTTGTTTAGAATTCGAATTTTAGTTTTTCTTATCTGAAATTGTTATATAAGGAGGATGAAATATATTAATTCAGTAAAAATATCAATACTTAATATCGATAAGGAAAACTAAAAGTTGGTAAAAATTATAAAATAACAAATGAAACCATTTTTTTTTAAACAAATTCATTTAATAAAAAAACATAAGTTGCATAAGTTTCCAAATTCGACTTGTGAAGTCAGAAATCAAGATAGCAATTTATTATACATTCTAAGGACAATAATAGTAAAACTTTCCATTTCTTACCTACTTACTGATACCTCTGAGGGTCCATATGGGGTTCTTCCTACGCATGGATCCAATATCTAATTTATCAACCAACCAGCCATCCCCATACTCTATCCTGTAACGAGCGCCAAACGTATCATCGCCTCAATACCTCGTCCGGTGTGAGGGTGGACAATTACTTCCCAACCCCTTCCAGTATGGGACTTCCCAGCCCTGTTCAATTAAGATAATATCCACGGTAGGATTTGCCCTATGTACCGGGTCCATACACCATTTTTCATGATATCCGATAAACGTTTTATATACATGTTCACCTCATCCATCAGCCACCAAGTATACACAACCATCTCATTACATATTTACAAATTAATAGAACGACATTTAAATATACAGTATAAATTGATACTTTAACAATTAAGAAATACGTAATTAGAGCATTTTTTTTAAATCAATCAACAGATATGATTAAACGGTTAAATCAATGAATCGAGAAGGCAAGTAAACCAGTGAATTAAAGTGCATGCAGTAAGCATATAGTCTAGTAATAGATAAACAGTATATGTAAAATAAACAATTTCGTACTGACCAGTTACTGGCTCTACTAGTGATCTGTATTTAATTAATTAGGGATTTTTAATATTCACAATTTATATCGTTGTTATTTATCAAAGTTCAATTAACCGTAACGGGAGAAAATGGTAAGGGATTCTTACCCCAATTCGATGATCGAAACATCAAATTTTCCACTGTACTTCCTGTCGGTTTCTGGATTTCTTGTATTTTTTCTGCGAAAACCAAAAATACACGTCACGTATTCCGAAATACCGCAAAAAGGAAAAAAATAAGGGTTTTAAAATTTTTCAGCTGGTTTAGGGTTTCGGCACACCAGCACTGCTGTGCTCTGGCCCTGGCTCCGCCATCCACGACAGCATCTCCTCTCGGTTTGGCCAGTTTTCGGCCGGTTTTATACAAAAACCTACAAAATTCGAAGTTAGGAGGCCTCTGCTGGCCAAAAAAGGAAAACTAAAGCTTACCGCCAGGGGGGGGAGGCAAGGAGGTTTTTGGGTGCAGTGGCTCCGTCGTTCCTCTCTCGCAGTCGGGGATTTTCTTCGGTTGTCCTGCACCAGAAACGTGTTAGGAATTCACGGGTCGAAAGATTGAAGGGAACGGGAAGCAGGATCGAGCTCATCAGAGCAGTTTTTGGGTTGCAGTTGTAGCAGTTTACTCGAGCTCCATTCTCGATTTTTAGCTTTTCTTTTAACTTTTTGGTACCGATAAAGGTGTGGGGAGGCTTAAAATCAAATTCTGAAGCAAAATGAGGAAAAAACTTACCTCCTTGGTGTCAGCGACGACTACGGTGCGAGGGCGATGATGGTTGGCTTTCTTTCCGACCGCCGTTCTTCTTCTTCTCTTACAAGGTCAGGTACGGCTGGGGTTAGGATTTTCTGAGAAGCGATGTTTAAATACCCTCTCCGCGTTGATCTGGGTTGTCTGCATAGGGACACGTAGCCCACTCCCAACCATTAGATTGCTCTTATTTGGAAAATTAATTTGGGTCGCATGATTGGATTAAATTTGGTCGTTTGATCGTGCCTGAAGAGGAAATAGATTTGGGTCGTCCGTGCATGCGGGAGGAGATCTGGGCCATTAGATCTGTTGGCACGTGGATCGCCTGCTTGGACGCATGTCCGCGTGTTTGCCACATGGTACACAATGACCGGCCGCGCTGCTGATGTGA